GGAGAAGGAAATGGCAATCCACTCCAGTATTCTTGCCTCATAGTTCAAGTAAAGAGGTTTACTAATTCTCACATAAGACTGAAATGGAAGTCTCGTATACACAGATTTAAAAAGCAACTTTATCATTTCTTTTTAAAAGTAGCCTACTGCCACTGTCATTCCCAGAAAGATACAATTATTCATCAAAGGTCAAAAACTCTGCACCTGACCCCTATACACTGGGCTTTTCTTTATTCTCATGGGAAAGCTAATTTCTTCTATTGTTCCTCTCCAGAGAGATATCTGCTATTAATAATTTTGATATATTTGTTGGCTAGTTTGTTTGCAAAAAGAGGTTACAGTTCTTTTCATTGAAATCTTGTGTCTTTTAATTCTTATTTCATGGACTCTCTTTCATATTCACTAAAAATGACTGTTTTTGTTTCTGACCTTAGAGTGACTCTGAAATTTGATCAGATTTATTGCTCATAGTCCTCTCCCAGCTGCCCTGCTATCATCATATTATCCCTGGTAGCCTCTACAGCGTAGGAGTAAATCCCAAGGTCGTCTTGAGGATATATTAGCTTCTTATGTCAGAATAGTTTATCCCTCATTGCTTTTCATGGTAGCTTGGCATATGAGACACAGTGTATCTCAAGAATCTCAACCAGTCTCTCTGTTTCTACTCTCTCTCCTCCTCCTGCCCTGGTTAGAACTCCTGGCAGGTATTACACACACACACACACACACACACACACACACTGCTTGGGGAGAGCCCAATTTTGTATTTTTTTGGATAGCTCTTTCCTCATTAAATAATTACATAATGTCCAAATCTGTCTTCACATCAGATTTATGTGGAGAGTCCCCTTAAAACTTTACATTTATTGATTTATTTGTTTCTCACAATAACCCTAGGGCTTCCTGGGTGGCACTAGCAGTAAAAAACCTGTGTGTCAACACAGGAGATGTGGGTTCGATCCCTGGGCCTGGTAGATCCCCTTGAGATGGCAATGTCAATCCACTCCAGTATTTTTGCCTGGGAAAATCCATAGACAGAGGAGCCTGATGGGCTACAGTCCACGGGATTGCAAAAGAGTCAGACACAACTCAGAGACTAAATAACAACAATTCAGGGAAGGAAGTATCCCATGCAGAAATTGCTTTTTGGAAAATGTTTGACATAACTTAGTCTATTCATTGATCTTGTTTGGATGAGCTGTCATTATCTTTGCAGAACTTTCCTTTAACATTTTTCCCACAATTTTGTCAATTACAGTTTAAGTTTTCCTGCTCTGGTAGCAACTCATGTATTTTTCTACTCCTGGGCCTCTGCTCCGGGAAGCTATGATTCTACTGATCTGTCTCTTCAAACTTATGGTGTGGTGATTTGCCCTGTGACCTCAGTTCTCTGATGGATATAAGAAGGGTTGCTTATTTTTTAGTCTTTTTTTTTTTAACTTGTTGTGTGAATGGGCATGATCATGTCTAGACTCCTTACATGTCAGACTAAAAGCCACAAATATGTCATTTATTGTGTGATCTTGAAAGATAAAGGCAAAAAGAGAAGTGGGCAGCAGAGGATGAGATGGTTAGATAGCATCACTGACTCAATGAAATCAATTTGTGCAAACTTTGGGAAACAGGGAAGGACAGAGGAGCCTGGTGTGCTACAGTCCACGGGGTTGCAAAGAGCTGGACATGACTGAGTGGCTGAACAACTACAGTTTCTGTGATTAGAACATGCTCATTGACTGACTGGATGGATAATGAATAAGTGAGTGAATACAGTAAGAGTCAAGTAAAAAAGAAGCAACTAGAGTCATATATGACAACATGTTTTTATTGCCTTAAAAATATAAAATGAATCCAGAAAATAATCACTTTAGCTTTTTTTTTTTTTAATATGTAGGATTCCCTAGCAAATAGTCTCTAAAATTCTGAGATTTCTATGTAGAAGATTTAATGTGATATGTTCTTGAGAATAAGAGCTTAGAGGGTAAGACAAGCAACAGTGGGTAAAGGTAAAAGTTCATCCATACAACACAGTTGAGGATTAGGGCTCAGCTAATCCTATAGGAAACTCTGGAGCTAGGCTGGTCCTTCAAAGTTGCATCTCTGGAGGCCAGAAGGCTGAACCTTTACACGCCACCCCCCACCCCACCTGTTACCTTGCTCACTCATTTGATGTAGGCTGTCCCTGAGAAAGGTGACTCCCTTTGGCAGACAGCAATTTCAAGAAAAAGACTCAGCAGAGAATTCAGTTGCCAACACTCTCAGTACCTTGGGAAGTAAGTACATCAGTCCTGATGGGAGAATCTGGGTAGCAAACCAGAGTGCTTGTTGTAGTCTACTCTGTCACTGCTTGATTTGCTTGATTAGTATGTGACTTTCCTTTACCAGCCCCTCCAGTGTTCTGTCCAGTCTCTTTTCTTGATGAAACTCACAAAAAATTAGTGGGACAAACTATACTCCTAATCTTTGCAATCTGTCCTGAAACTGCAACTAATATTCATCACCCTCCTATCCCACTACAATTCTAGTTCCATGACCCTTGACAACACCTTGAACTAAACTAAACATTTCACCTGGTAGGGTGACCAAGAGACTCATCACTAACGGGTCTAAGCCCCTGGATATAATACCCCATTTCTACCGAACTTACCTATTTGCTGTCAAAATTTAACAGGGAACTATCAAGAGATATCTAGTAGATCAGCTTGGGGTCAAATACATGCTTCACTTCCTGTCTTAGGCAACAGCCCTACAATTTCCTGATAACCAGGTTTAATGAGCCTTGCTAGGATTGTGACTCATTTTCCTTCCTGCTGGGCTCCTGGCATAAGAAGTCCAGAGGAGCAGACATAGCTTAAAATTTAATGAGATTTTTACCGTGTTGCCTGAGAAAAGAGTTTGTACTCAGGGAACCAGGGTTTCTGACAGATCCTAAAATGGTGAGGACATAAGCACAAATTCCCCTTTTATTAGCATAATCATGCATTTGAGAAAAGGAAATAAACAGACCTTTCAGAAAATACTAGTCTCTGACTCTGAACCTATACTAGTTCCAGGAGACCAATAATATCATTGTGACCCACCAGACAGAGTAAGAGCTTAGAGAGGTTAGGTGATCAGTGGAGTTTTAGTTTAGGTCCTTCTCACTGTGGGTCCAGTGTGTCCCCAAACCCAGTCTGTGGTTATTTTCCATTTCCAGAATGCACAATTGGAACAGATCAGCTGGCAGAATTCCCCCTTACCAGGCACTTGGTCCCATCCAAAACATCCGTAAGACCCATACTGAAAGGTCTTTGATGCTTGGTCATACTGAAAAGTCTTTGATACTGAAAGGTCTTTGATACTTGGTCATATTTAGTCTTGTCTAAAATCATTTGGCATGAACCAAATATGTTCATGGGTTTCTTGGGTAGCTCAGCTGGTAAAGAATCCATTTGCAATGCAAGAGACCTCGGTTCCGTTCCTGGGTCAAGTTCCTCTGGAGAAGGGGTAGTCTACCCTCTCCAGTATTCTTGGGCTTCTCTGGTAAAGGATGCACCCACAATGCGGGAGACCTGGGTTTGGTCCCTGGGTTAGGAAGATCCCCTGGAGGAGGGCATGGAAACCCACTCCAGTGTTCTTGTCTGGAGAATCCCCAAGGACAGAGGAGCCTGGTAGGCTACACATGGGATCACAAAGAGTTGGACATGGCTAAGCCCTGCACAGCACATATATGGTCACGGACATTGTGGATAGCAGGAAAATGTCAAGAAACTTGGCATAGACCAAATGTCTCATGGACCTTTTGGCAAGGATCCAATGTCTGCTAATCTCCTGACCTGCAAAGTTGTTTCTGGGACTTGTGGTATACTGACCATAGCCATCAATATGCATACTCCCTGGTATGGTTTTATTCTAGATCCCTTAGTATATTTTTTGTTACTAGAGAAACTAGGTGTTCCTCGGCCCTTTTAGGCTATCCTGTACTTGTGTATCAGGGTGTAGAGGTGGGGCTTTTCTTTTCAAAAAAAAAAAATTATTTACCTATTTGTATGGGCTCTCAGTCCCCTCACATGGGGTCTTCATTGCATCATGTGGGATCTTTCCTGGCAGTGCACGGACTCTCTAGTTATGGCATGTGGGGTTCTCTCTAGTTGTGGCGCATGGCTCCAGAGCATGCAGGTTCAGTAGCTGTGGTACGTGGGCTTAAGTTCTCTGCAGCATGTGGAATGGGTGGCTCAATGGTAAAGAATCCACCTGCAATACAGGAGGTGCAGGTTAGAGCCCCTGGAGGAGGAAATGGCAACCCACTTCAATACTCCTGCCTGGGAAACTCCCATGGACAGAGGAGCCTGGCAGGCTACAGTTCATGGGATTGCAAAAGAGTCAGACATGACTTTGGCGACTAAACGAAAGTGGAATTTTAGTTTTCCGACCAGGGATTGAACCCATGTCCCCTGTGTTGGAAGGTGGATTCTTAATCACTGGACCCCCAGGGAAGACCTGCGCTGGGGCTTTTGCTCTCCCTCTCTCTGTGCATGTGTGATCTCCCAGCTAAGCAAATCTCTCTATCAAGACCTTTGCCAAAACACATTCAGAATATCTATGCCAAGTCACTGCTGTACGCTGGTGAGACTTTGAGGGCCATGTCCTTTCTGTTATTTTTTTCCTTGAGAGTTTTTCTGCAAGAAACTCCATGTTATATTTGCACCATGTTGATTTGTGCTCCTTTGCACAATGCTAATAATACCCAAACAAATTTTAAAAACTACTTTCTGTGGCCCGTAGATTCAGAGAAATGAGAAAGGGAAGAGATAAGAGGAAGAAAAATGCTCTCTGTTCTTCTCTGAGTTCATTTCCAGAGCTGTGAGTTGCTGGTACTGTGGATTTAAAAAACAGAAGTTTAAAGATATGTTTAAACTTCGGCTTATGAACAGACATTTGAAAGCACAGCTGTTTATCATCCAACTCTATTAATTTGCTCTCTCTTTTTTTTCAGTTTGCTGGGCTTTCTTTGCATAACATCAATGTCTGAAGAAGTTACTTATGCAAATCTAAAATTCCAGGACTCCAGTCAGACAGAAAATATTCAGAAGTTTGACAAATCTGAGAAAGAAGGTAAGATTTTTAGCTATAGATGTGTTGTAAGGTGGTCAGGGTGTATGAAGTGGCAGAAGTGTTAAGAGTAGGTTCCCCTGGGATGTTAGTGAATTGGCAATGATCTCTCTATTTGAATTTTTAATTAAGCATCTTAATTTTACCCAAACTACCAAAAATGTCCATACAAAATGATTGTAAAGTTTTTTTAAGGCAATGATCAATGTACTGGACACAATCTTTTACAAATTTTATAGGTTTTTTTAATATCACAATCAAGATAATTATGATAGGATAATATTTTCATATGACTGGATTGTGAAACATTTTTCCCCCATGAAAGGTAGCCATGGAACAATAAACATGTGCTGTCTAAGAAAGTCAAGGCTTTGTACCTTCTTTTTTCTAAATAAATGCTAGTGTGTATGTGTGTGTGTCTGGTGCACAAGATACCAGAGAGACAAAGAGACAAAGAGACAGACAGGAATTTTAGAGAATTTCATTTGAATTTTTTTACCAAACTGAGCCTATATTAAACTCTAAAAATTTTTCTACTTTTTTTGGAGATCTTTTCCCAATTTACTAAAATATAGAAGAGGTTAAATTAAATGAAAGAATACATCAAGTATTAAAGGAAGGAGAGAGATAAAGAAATATTAGAAGAGACACATTCAAATCCATCCTGTACCAGGAAGTTTGATATTTTTTAATCCTAATTTATTTCTGAGATAAATGGACTACTTGTGTTTACTTTCTACACTGTAATCTCCATCTTATTCATAATCCTGTATTTCTCCAATTGTATGTAGCTTGTACCTCCTGGCTTTTAGTCTTTTGGATGAAATCTGTCCCAGAACATGCAAACTTAAAATCAGTGTGCATAAATTAAACAGTAGATATGGATAACACAAAAAGTTAGTAGAAGCAGTGAAATCAGAAGGAACTAATAGAAAAATTCTCATGTAGTCTTTAACTGTTCTCCCTCTCACCAAAATGTAGCATTCTTTGAAGTTCTAATTTTATTCTTGGGTCCATTTATCATCAGCATTGTAAGTCCTGAGAAGGGATAACAGTTTAATTCTGCGGCCTTTGCCTCTAATACAAACTGTTTGTTTTTTTTTTTTAAGGACGGGAAGTTAAAGATTTTACAATACTTTCTGCCAACTTCCTTGTTGATATTTCTCCTTTTATATGGTTTGAGAGGAACAGAACATATCATGAACTTAATATACCATAATTGCTCTTAACATATCCCATCACATTATATCTCATTTTCTGTCGTACTAATTGTCCTTATTCTAAATTTCCAGAAATTCTTTGACTCTAAAAACATCTTAAATCCATGTCTTGTTGGCTTTCTCAATTTTTTCTAATTTTCTCATTATTCAGCTTAAAGTTTATATTATATAATATAAACTTTGTATTATTTAACATCTAATCCTTGGTCTCATATGCTCCTTCCCTGTGCTTTTTCCTTGAAAAATTCCAATTCTTAAATATTTACCCACTTTGTGCCCCACCTGCGCAGCGAAACATTGCCACGTAAAAAATGCACAAGCTCTCAAACCCAGTTTACGCTCATTTGCCAATATATGTATGTGTGTGTTCAGTAGCGTCCAACTCTGTAGCCTACGTGCAACTCTATGGGCTGTAGCCCACCAGGCTCCTGTGTCCATGGGATTTTCCCAGGCAAGAAGAGTGGAGTGGGTTGCCATTTCCTTCTCCAGGGAATCTTCCTGACCCAGGAGTTGAACCCGTATCTCCTGTGTCTCCTGCATTGCAAGTAGATTCTTTATCACTGAGCGACTGGGGAAGTCCATTTCATTTGACAAGCTTTGCTTCTATTTCATTCTACCCCTTTTCTCTCTACTACCAAAATTTCTATCTTGCTTTATTTGACTCATACTCTCTGCCTCACTTCTAGATGACATTTATAATATCCTGTTTTACTCATCAAAAACCGGATCTTTTCATTTGGTTCTAAATTTCAATCCAGGTATCCTCCTCAAAGACATTTCTTCAACAATTTTCAACTTTCTCTCTTGCTTTATTATTCTCTCTCCCTCCTTTAGTTCATTACCCCTTTCTGGTGCAGCGACATACTTCTTGGCAACTGTGGTGCTTTAGTCGCTAAGCGGTCTCCAACTCTTTGTAACCCCTGGACTATATCCCACCTGGCTCCTCTGTCCATGGGATTGTCCAGACAAGAATACTAGAGTGGGTTGCCATATCCTGCTCCTATTTTAACATAAAATAATCCTTTCTTGACAATTTAAGTCTCTCCATTTTCCCTTCATTTCTTCATCTCCTTCCACAGCTCAACTTATTGAACCTGTTGTCTCTGGTCACAGACTCCTAGTTATCCATCTCTCTCTTCTTATCTAACTAGGTTTCTGCTCTGTGTTTCATGGGGATCATCCTTGTTTCGTTCATGGATGACCTCCTCCCTGACCCATGGTGACAGTCACATCTCTGCTCTAATCTGTCTCCTGACTTCTCCTTTGACCACTTCTAGCATCATTTCTCACCTTGGCCACAATTCTTTAGCCACTCTGAATCTTTTCTGTTTTTATCAAACAGGTAAAACTTTTCTCCAAATTAGAGTCTTTGAATTAGGTGTCCTTGCTATCTGCAATTTCTTTGCACCAATTTTTCATTCCCAGTGGCCATAAGTTCTGAACCACATGCTGTTTATAATATAGCTCAGTTTCAAACCTGTGTATACCATTTAAGAGTTAGAGACCTCTCTCAACTCTCTCATAATTAAAATTTGCCTCCTGTGAAAGCAGGGACTGGTATGTCTTGCTCACTTCTGCTTTATTAGCATCCAGACTAGTGTCCAGTGTACAGAGATATTCAATAACTTTTGATTAACTGAATACATAAATAAATTAGAAAAATTCTGTAAAAATAATAGCACTTGAAGTCATGCTTCTGACCTTAGAAATGATCTTGACTATGTAATTCTTTCATGTGTCAACTATTGTCCAAGGTCTAAAAACATTGTTTCACATTTCATTTTCAATTCTCTCTATATTTCACAGTATCACAGTATCACCAACTGTGATATGAGGGACATAAGTATAGTATAGTAAGTATAGTAAGGTTATGTTATCTCTGAATTATATTTTCAAGAAATATCTGGTATCCATTTATACAAGTAATGATTATTTAAATAACAGGAATTTAATAACAGTTAATTTATAATATAAAGTTTATAATTTCTCGAGTATTTTTTTAAGTACTGAAATGATCTGTCTGAAGCTTCATAGTTCAACAAAAAAGAAACATTCAATCAAAGTTTGCTGCTCAGAGCATGAAAAAATTCTGAGGAAACTATTCAGTCTAACCTAGGAACTGGCTGATGGGAGAACACCCAGAGACATTACAGGGATACTTTCTCGTGTATGTTCCACAGCCAAACTCTGAGTATTTTCTGGGGGAAACATAGACAAAGGAAATTACTTTCTCTGATACCCCACATTTGTCAACTCAAGGAAGGAACACTTAAATTGACCTTGCTATTAGCTGCTTGCTGCTCAGTTTCCCCAATTTTGTACAGACAAGATACATCTTTTTCAGATTAATTTGTCTCCTCACTTCTTTTTCTTTCTCTTTCTCATAGATTTATTATTGATTTTTATTGGAGTGAAATTGCTTCCACTGTGGTGTTAGTTTCAGGTGTATAGGAAAGTGAATCTGCGATACATATACATATGGTCCTTCTTTTTTGGATTTCCTTTCCCTTTGTTGTTGTTGCTTAGTCACTCAGTCATGATCTGACTCTTTTTTGATCCCATGGACTGTAGCCGCCAGGCTCCTCTGTCCATGGTATTTCCCAGGCAAGAATGGTGGAGTGGGTTGCCATTTCCTTCTCCAGGGGATCATCTTGACCCAGGGAATGAATCCATGAGTCCTCCTGCATCTCCTGCTCTGCAGGCAGAGTTTTTACCATTGAGCCACCTGGGAAGCCCTTTCTTCCCCCTTTAGGTCAGCACATCCTCATTTGTTTTTCAGCCCCATTTTTGCTTCTGTTTCTTGAATCAGCTTATCAATCCCAAGTTTCTGCTTTGAAAACCAGTTTGCATGCAAAACAATTAACAAAACGTTTTTGACTTCTTCTTGACTTACTTAGTCTTTAAAACATTATTTTTTAAAAGCCTTTGAGTTTCTAGCAAAACACATTCCTTTACCACAGACCTATGAGGAAAGCAATAAAGACAACACACATGAACACATGAATCAAATTAAAATGCACACCATTCTAAGTGTCTTTACTGATTTTGCTTCCCACAGAACCGCCTGTTCCTTCCCACGTATGGCGTCAAAGAGCCTTTGCTGTGACTCTTCTGTGCCTTCTGCTGCTGATTGGCCTGGGAGTCTTAAGCAGCATGTGTACGTATTCCCTATGTTTTTACTGCAGGGAAAACACTTAGAAGTGAGTTTTGCTCCAAAGCCTTGGGATAGGTGATACGTCCACAAAGGGACTTTAAACTAGATAGTTACAACATGGTACTCAGTCTCTTTTTAAAATTTTAAAATTAAAAATCACTTGTATTTATTTAATTTTTTTAATGTAAAATTTTATTTTTAATTGGAGGATCCTTGCTTTACAATGTTATGTTAATTTCTGCTGTACAACAGGATGGATCAGCTTTATGTATGCATATATCCCCTCCCTCTTGAACCTCCCTTCCACTGCCTCATCCTCCCCTCTAGGTTAGCAGAGAGCATCACTTGGGCTCCCCATGTTATATATAGCACTTATATGTAAATAACTGTTTATTTTGCATATGGTAATGTATATGCTTCAATGCTACTCTCTCAATTCATCCCACCCTTTCCTTCCCCAGGTGTGTCCACAAGTCTGTTCTCTATGTCTGCGCCTCGATTCTCGTCCTCTAAATAGGGTCATATGCACTCAGTCTCTTTCCCTTACTTCTGTGAAATAACTGCTTCCCTAGACATTTAATATTCTTAAATCAGCAGAAAGGAGATGATGGTTGCACTGAGGGACTACAATTTTTTTTATCATTTCTCTCTTTTTTTAAAAATCTGAAGTTCACATAACTTTGAAGACAGGCATGGAAAAATTGAATAAGCTACAAAATGTCAAAGAAGAACTTCAAAGAAATATGTCTCTACAACTCATGCAGAACACAAATAGTTCCCAGAAAATCAGGAACCTTTCTATCAAACTTGAAGAAATAGCCACCAAATTATGTCGTGAGTTATATATAAAACACAAAGGTAATCCTTTATTTCTTTCTGAGTTATTTATTAGACAATAAACTAAATCTTGGGGTCACTTGATCACTTCATCAAAAGCTAGCAGCCTTTCCCAGGAAACTATTATTTGGAAGAAAGAATTAAATGTGGTTGATTAAAGACCCATTGATGTTTCTGTGCAGTTAGAAGAAAAACAGAAAAATAACTATAATCCCCCAAATTATCAAGAGATGGTACTTACTGAAATATAAGACGGTCTGCAATTTCTCTAATCTGACATTTACCACTACTATTTGGGGCACTGAAGTCAATAGAATATAGGGAGGAAAGGATAGATCACCTCTTTAATTTATTTTCCTGTGGGGTTCAGTGGCAAAGAATCCACCTACAATGCAGGAAGTGTGAATTCGATCCCTGGGTAGAGAAGATCCCCTAAAGAGAAAATGGCAACGCACTCCAGCATTCTTGTGGGGAAAATCCCATGGACAGAAGAGCCTAGCAGGCTACAATCCATGGGGTTACAAAGAATCAGACATAGCTGAGCATGCAGAAGACACATCTGAGCACTATATGATTTTTGGCTGCACTGAGTCTTTGGCTGCTGTGTGCAGTCCTTCTCTAGTTGTGACAAACAGGGGCTATACTCTAGTTCCGGTGCACAGGCTTCTCATTGCAGTGGCGTCTCTTATTGTGGGCTTCCGTAGTTATAGTGCATGGTCTTAGCTGCTCCATGGCATATGAAATCTTCCAAGACCAGGAATTGAACCCATGTCTCCGGCATTTGAAGTTGGATTCTTAAACACTGGACCACCAGGGAAATCAGATCACCTCTTTATGATTTTTAAAAAGAAGGGCAATAGAAGGTATATCACCATTTTATCGATTACTTCGTTCCTAAATTTCACTCAATGTTTGATAAGAGTTCATAGAAAAAAAATTCAAGCTTAGTCTTACCTTTGGAATTGGGAGGAACTAGTCTTTTAGTATCTCTAACAGTTTCTACAGTTATTATAAGTAAAACATATTGTCATCTTAAGTCTCCCGAATATTCAACAAGTCAAAGAGCTGGAAATGCTCTAGTTGGAAAAGGTAGTTTGTCTTGTGATTGGCCTTTATTGCTATGTAGAAATGCACAAAATGACAAAGGGAAAGAAGGAGATTAATTAATTGCTATTCAGGGCTCCTGAACTAGAAAATAGATTGAAATCCAAGTGTTTAATTTCAAATGTGTTCAAATTATGTTTTGGACACATTGTGGTTGTATGTGGGAGCCTGGAATACAAGATTTATTTTCTCCACTTTTGATGTTAGAAGAAGAAAGACAAGTAAATATGCTTTATTTTTATTTTTTTAATGAGAGAACAATGGGAATAAGAATTATGAAGATATCTACACAACCAAATGAAGGGATCTCTTCTTCCAGAACACAAATGTAAACCTTGTCCAGAGGAGTGGTTGTGGCATGACGACAGCTGCTACCTACTACAAAATGTGGCGAGAACGTGGCAGAAGAGTGATGAGATTTGTTCTGACTACAATGCCAGCCTGTTGATGATTAAAAGCAAAAGTGTGGTGGTAAGATCACATGGATCTCTGCCTGTAAGGGAAGAAGTCACTTTCCCCAACATGGAATAGAGGAGGGAGACATGTTGGGGAAGATTTATATTAGTCCAGATATGAATCTGGCTTATTTTAGTTGGGGTATGAGGTGAAAGGAACTTAGTACACTCTTATCGGGGTACCAAGCCAAGACAGGCCATATGAAACTTTAGCTTAGCACCTTAGCATCAGTGGATTCTCAGTGGCTAATGGGCAGATGGTAGACGTGGAGCCCTCAGAATCTTTAGGTCTGTGAATATTTCCAAACTAGAACTTTAGAATCAATTCTTGGGACATAGTTTTGAGCATTTATCTGAAAACAGAAGATCTGTAATTATTTCTGGGTCTTACCAGTTCTGTAAAATCACATAGAAGGAAGTTCACTGTTTCTACCCTTTTGCATTTGCATTTTTTTAACTAAGAGAAAAAGGCTACATATACTGGAATAATGATTCTTTCAAACTGTGGTGTTGGAGAAGACTCTCAAGAGTCGCTTGAACTGTAAGGTGATCCAAGTCAATACTAAAGGAAACCAGCCCTGAATATTCATTGAAAGGACAGATGCTGAAGTTGAAGCTCCAATACTTTGGCCATCTGATGCGAAGAGCCGACTCATTAGAAAAGACCCTGATACTGGGAAAGATTGAAGGCAGGAGAAGAAGGGAACAACAGAGGATGAAATGGTTGGATGGCATCACCGACTCTATGGACATGAGTTTGAACAAACTCCGGGAGATAGCAAAGGACAGGAAAGCCTGATATGCTGCAGTCCATGGGGTCACAGAGAGTCAGACATGACTGAAAAACTGAACAACAGAATTAAGATTAGGTGGCAAAGGGGAATCCCCTGGCAGTCCAGGAGTTTAAAGACTTGGCTCTTTCACTGCTAAGGGCCCAGGTTCGATCCTTGGTTGGGGAACTAAGATTCCACAAGTTGTGTGGCACATCAGGGCCAAATAGGTAAAGAAAAGAGGGATGGCAAAGGCAAGTGCCAAGCAGATATATTGCACTGAGTTCCTGGGTCCCAGGAAAAGTGAATTCTCTGGAAGATTTATTTATTTATTTATTTATTTTTTCTAATATTTAAATTGTACCTCTATATTTTGGAGAATATGAAGAATCCCATGGACAGAGGAGCCTGATGGGCTATAGTTCATGGGGTCGCACAGAGTTGGACACGACTGAGTGACTAACACACACACACATATTCTGGGCTTCCCTCGTCACTCAGCAGTAGAGACTCCAGATGCCAATGCAGGAGATGTGGGTTCGAGCCCTGGCTGGAGAAGATCCCCTGGAGTAGGAAATGGCAATCCACTCCAGTATCCATTCTTGCCTGGAGAACTCCATGGACAGAGTCTGGTGGGCTATAGTCCATGGAGTCACAAAAGTGTTGGGCATGACTTAGCAACTAAACAATAGTAACAACAACTCTTACTTATTCATTGGCATTTCTGGTTTTTCAGATAGTAATCCCATATTTATTTTAAAACCGAAATATATTTTTTCAAAAGTCTCTGCTTCCTTACTGTCAGAATCCTTGTTCTTCTTTATAGCAGAGGGGAAATCAATCTAGTTTCTGCCTAGTCTTATTATTCTCAAATGATCCATTCATAGTTATTTGCTTAACAAATGACAGGCATATGAGAAAAGAAAAAAATATTACTTTGGCTACAAATCTCTTGAACTGAGTTTGAATTCTATTCTATAATCATTCTCCTTTGACCTTATTACATTTTTCTCATACTCATGTTTCCTTTAGCTTGGGTTTTTGGCAATGAACCATCTCTTTGCCCCCAGATAGTAACTGAGATATCAATGTTGAAATACATTTCTCAGTAAGGGGCACTCTGTCTCAATTTCTTTTAATGGCATAGAAAATAGTAGAAAAGTGTCAAAGATTTCGCCTTGTAATTTGTAAGAAATTACACTGTGAGGTAATTTACAGAAAAGGGAGACAATGATTTTAACAAGCCACCTCTGATTCCTATAGGAATTTATAAAATCTCTGAGGTTATATAACCATTGGTTGGGATTATCTCCCAGGAAAGATAACACAAAATATGGGAACTTGGATACAATTATCCCCCTCGACTGGTAAGTCTTTATTCTTGTTGAATTTTAAGGTGCTTTCAGTAAAGGTGAATTTTCTCAGGGGCACTGTAGCTTCTAGTGAAATTGCATCCACAAAGAACCCTTTTCCTTCAGACTTCTGTGATGTGTTTAATAATGAGAAAGTTATTACAAATGTCTTCCCATTATCTTGACAACTACAAGCCAAATAAGGGAGGATTTCTTTGAATAATGCTTTTATCTAAGAAAACTATAGAAGCCAACACAATTCACTGGGCTTGAATATGTACTTAAAATTGTGCAATGCTAGGATTCTAAAACAAGTGAAAGATTGATTCTTCTTTTTGTTACTTAACCATTGACTGGACGCACAGACAAATTAATTCAACAGATGAAAAGAATAAAATGTGATAAATGCTTCAGTAAGAATACACAGAACAACAAAAAATAGATTTTATCTTTGAAATTTATGTTATAACTGAAATTTGAAGTGGACATTCTTGAGTAAAAAAATTAGAGATTGACTAGAAGAGCGTTTCTGGTAAAGAGAGTAAAATGAACATGGGCATGATATAAAAGATATTTTGTTGCACAGCATAGTAAGAAATTGGTTATAAATATGCCAGTATAAATGGACTCATATGTTGTATTTGTTCTGCTTATAATGGGGTTGGGGCAAGGCGTATATAAAAAGAATGCCAAAATTCATTTGTGTTTTATAATTCCTTAAATTTAGGAAGTAGACAGGATATCCAGGTCACCTGCATTGCAGGTGGATTCTTTATTGCTGAGTCACCGGGGAAGCCCACCGGATGCCCTTACAATCTCACAAATTCATACAGATTTGTTTGTTGAGGACACATGAAGCTGGAGTGAGCTCAAGACATATGTGCTGTGGTGCTGCCACTCTGAATCTAAACCCCGAGATTCCTCCAGATTCACGACATTGGGCAAGGCAGCAAATAGAATCTTTGGCTGTGTTTTGGTTATTGTTTTGTTGTATCCGGCTTGTTTTTTCCATCAGATAGAAATAGCATGTGTAGGAATATGGGTCATAAAGACACTGCAGCTGTCTTTGTCAGTCTGCAATGACAGTACCGAACAGGGGATGTGCTTAGTCGCTCAGTCCCGTCCAACACTTTGCGATCCCACGGACTGTAGCCCACCAGGCTCCTCCATCCATGGGAATTCTTCAGGCAAGAATACTGGAGTGGGTTGCTATGCCCTCCTCCAAACAGGGGATAGGATCTGTACAAAGGAGAGAAAGATGTATATTCTAAAGGTCTCATTTGGAGTGAAATTCTAGAAGTAAAGGTAGTGTGAGCATAAATGGACAGCATAGGTGAAATCTTGTTTCAAAAATTAGAGTTTCCCTGTGTTTATTTGTAATTATTGCTAATGGGAAAGCAAACTATAACGGGATGGAAAACACAGTAGCTATTTCAAATCACAAGAAATAATATAAATATAGAAATATATCCTAGTCTATGTATATAATACACTTTTATATATATCATGTACATATAATATATGTAATTCCTTTTTTTAAATCTTTGATGTTATTTTGGAATTTGTTCCTGGAAATGAGCTGGGATTAATATAATCTGTGTTATGATACTTCAAACAGAAAATTAAGGTTATTTGAGGAACTTATTTATTAATAATCATTAGTTACTGATCCAAGTGGTGATGCTACATTTTTTTCCCAAAGATAATATATTCAGTTTACAAGTTTGTCTTTAATTTATAGTCCCTCATCAGTCATCCTATGTTAGGAGCTGGCAATCATTCAGGGCTTCATCGTAAAATTTCTGGAAAATAGCTGAGGAAAATGTCACTTGGAGATGATGCTGAGCTTAAGGTATCACAGATGAGGTTAATTTCTGATTTTGGTGATTATCAAAAATATTTGAGGAGGACAGCCTCAAAATTTATTGCTTGTCCAGTTTTCCCGGAGAATCTAATGGAATTGCATTATTTTATTCATACTAGGTACTGTGGAAGGGAGGTGCTAGGTCTGGAAGAAAAGGACAACAAATACTCCAGCTGTGAGAAACTAGAAAAGCCTTAGAGAATATAAGTAACTTGGACACTTGCCATTCTAAATAATAATTAAAATTTATTTTAGACAACACAGACCATGGAAGCAGTGATATGTTGGAAAAGTGATTGTTTTTCTGGGACTGTGTTTCAAATGTTTGACTTGCCAAGTGTAATTCTTTATTTTCTCTTTCAGGTTTACAAGAAATACAAGTGTCATAAATGATAAGATGTATTGTGGAATCATACAGTATGGATACTTTTCTTATACTAAGTGCACTGATATTAAAAATATTGTATGTGAGAAGCTTGCCCAAACAGTGAAGATTGATAGTATGCTAATGAGTGCAGTACTGGATGGAAATAAGTAGTTAGTGAAATCAGTTTGTCCCAAGTATTATCCTGCAGTTAAAGGACACTTTGGGGACCATACATCTTGTTGACCACACCAATAGAATAAAGATGCAGTAAGACTACATTTCTGCCTCCCTCCTAACAATTTACATTTTCAAACTTTCTTCTTCCTCTTCATTTGCTGAGTGAATGGAGCCTAATGTCATAGTTATACTTTATGTTTCATTCACTCAGTCCAGATACTGCTGAACATAAATACAGTATTTTGGGTGAGAATACAGAAAACTGATGGAGGAAATGGCAACCCACTCCAGTATTCTTGCCTGGATAATTCCAATGGACAGAGGAGCCTGGTGGGCTGCAATCCATGGGGTCACAAAAAGTCAGATATGACTGAGCACACACAGAAAACAGAAGCTAATTTTTCTTGCTTCTCCAGAAATAAGGTAAATATCAACTTTACAGAAAATCAAAGAAAATTAAATCTTGGAATATTCGGAGAAGATAATACCATCATGACCAATTAGGACAATACCGGTTGATTTACTTACTTTTGGGGGGGAAAAAAAAATAAAAGAGAGTGCCATTTCAATAGATATAGAAAAAATGTTAGATAAAGTTCAACACCAAAATCTCTTAGAAAACTAGAAGCGGAAGATATCTCTAATCTGATAAAGAAAGTTAACATTAAAAAGAGAAAAGCAAGGGAAAAAAAACTAACAAAAGCAGCAACAGAAACCCCTAAGCGTAACATATTTCTAGTAAAAGAGTGAAAGTTTTTCTTTTGAACCCTGGAAGAATATAAAAATTCTCATTATCAGTTATTTTATTAGCAACCTTTACTGTCTATTAGAGGTCCTGAAAGTGAAATAAAGCAAGAAAGAGATTAAAAGTATAAAAAAATGAGACAGAAATAAGATTTTATTTGTAGATAATTTAATTATTTGCATAAAAGCAATATAATTTATAAACTATTAATTTATCAAGCTCAGTGATAAATTATATATAGTATATTCTCAATATATGCACATCAATCATATTTCTATGTATTGGCAATAAGTAGTGCAAAATAAAATTTACAACAGTAATACCATTAATAATAGCATCCAAAAACATAATAACAATAAATATAAAGATTAAAATGTGGAAAATCTCCACATGTAAATATTATATGCAGTGTGATCCTAATACCTCACCTAAAATTACATCTCCTTCTAAAGATCTGTAAATCCAGCAACTGGTAATAACAGCATAACAAGGGCCAGGACTCCACAGTCCTGCCTCAAAGGAAACTATAAGCTGTTTGCTGCCAAATTAGCTAATATATACCCATTCCACAATGGAAAGAGCTTTGACAGGAGTAGATGCATATTTGGATATGGAATTCTTGTCCTGTCCATAGGGTTCATCCAGAACCAATATCCACAAACTGGAATAGGACCTTACATAACATCATGTGTCTGATGCTCTCTAGCATTCAGATAAGGGAGTAGAGGATTGACCATGGGATCTACTAGTTACATAAAAACAGAATCAACACTTAGCTGCAAATCAGACAGAGCAATGGAAGGCTAAAGGTCCTTTGAAAGCACAGTTGGAGATCCATCTCAAGAGTTAATACTACAACATGATGCCATCTTCCAAGTTATAGTGTATTCTTTTTGTGTGTGTGTGGAGGTTTGTTTAATTTAATTTAATTTAATTTAATTTTTCATTTATTTTTATTAGTTGGAGACTAGATTACTGTACCCAGCAAGGATCTCATTCAGATACTAAGTTATAGTGTATTCTTTAAACCAATAACCTTTATATGGTGCTGTGTCCTCAACAGATAGAATACATGGATCTGGAAATCAAAGAGAGAGGCAGGAGTGACCCTTCTTACCATCATTTCCGGTAACCAACTTGGGAGATGCATGCCTTCTGGCAGAGTAACTCTGGGTTTAAGAAAATCTTGTCTGTAAAGAACAAAATCTTCCACCGGGGGGCACAACATCTCTTTAGATGAACTGGGATGAGCTATTTACTCTGACCAACAGAAGAGGGAGCTGTTTTTACACCATAGGGGGACAGGAAGAAAGACATCCAATTATGCCACTTGAGGACATCTTTATAATCTATCCTCTATTTTGATGGTATAAAGGCAAATATTGCAGTCTCAGCTTGAGAATGGTATGATGGGCTCAAACCCCTGGTAGGTGAAGGTGACTTAAGATCAGCAGACATGTGGAAAGTGAGAAGAATAGCCAAGTCCCTTTGCTGTTCACTTGAAACTATCATAGCATTGTTAATCAGCTACAGTCCAATATAAAATAAAAGGTTAAAAATAGGAGAGAGAGACAATGAATGTCAGTTGTGACTCTGAGCTCAGCTGCAGGGTCGGGAGCTAGAATTAATGCCACACACCTTCCACTTACAAGTTTATTCCAAGAGAAGAGACATACCTTTAACCTGGACTCGTTTCACTTCCATGAAGAAATACATCTGGGCTGAAGAAAGTTAAACTGTACTGGACGCTATGATGTGATATACAGATTCCTCTTCAGGACTGAAGGGTTTATTCTCCTGGTTGCTGGGAGAGCTATCAACATCCAACTATCAAGTGTGAGCCCTTGCCTCTGTTGAAGGGAATGAACTCAATCAAGGTTATGTTCCCTTCCCAGGGCAGGTCATTTCTGCGATGTGGGGATATGAAGGCCTGAATGCCTTGGCCTAACTGGGGAAAACTCAGAAGGTCTATTCCAGATTCAGAGCTCCAACTTCCCTTTCACCAATTCTGCTTCCTTCTGTTCTTTTCCACAAGTGGACACACCAAGGATGTCCCTGATAAACCTCCATCATACTAATCTTGACTTCATAAACTGCTTCCCTGGAAATCAAGACTGTAGGGGTTGCTGACAAGATTAAAGAAAACCTCAGTAAGTGGAGAGATAACTACATACTTGGATTAGAAAAGTTCATAATTGGGGGATGTCAACTTTCCCAAATTTGCCTCTAGATTCAATACAATCCCTGAATTTTTCAGAGGGATTTTTTTTAAGTGATGTGTTAATAGTAAGATTAATACAGAAATGCATAAGGTTTAGAATAGCCAACATAATATTGAAAAAGAATAATATTTGCAGAAATTACAGTCTTCAATAGCAAGACTTACTCTAAGGCCACAATAATAAAAACAGTTTTGACTTGATACCAGGATAGGTATACATCCACAAGCCCAGATCAAGAGTCCAAGAAGAGAGGATATGGAATGAGGTGGTCAGAAAGTAAAAACTTCCAGTTAAACAATATAGTTATTGTCCTGGGGATCTAATGTACAACGCAATGGCTATAGTTAATAGTGCTGTGTGGTACAATTGAAAGTTGCTAATAGAGCAAATTCCAAGGGTTCTCATCACAAGAAATTGTTTTCCTTTTTCATATCTATATGAGATGATGGATAACTAAATTTATTGCAATAAGCATTTCATAATATATGTAAGTCAAATCATTATACTGTAAACCTTAAGCTTCCACAATGCCATGTGTCAATTATATCCTAATAAAATTGGGGAAAAAAAAGAGTTTTGTTTGTTTGATATCTTCAGCAAGCCTGGTATACGTCTTTTTCTTTATTTCTTTTTTTTTTTTTTTTACATTCTAATAGTTATGTAGGGGTGTCCCTTGTTGGCTATCTTTTCTTGTGCTTATTTGACATTTGTATAACCTCTTTGATAGTGTCAGTGCCAATCTTTTGCCCATTTTGTAATACTTTATTTTTAGTGTTGAGTGTTCCTGTTGAGAGATATAGTCTGAATATCAGACAAGTTATATCAATTATGTGAATGGCAAATATTTTTTTTCCTAGTGTTTGATTTGTTTGTTCATGTCCTTAGGTCTTTTTCAAAAAGTGGAAGTTCTTCATTTTTATTGTCTAGCTTTTTATTCATTTTGTTATTTTTGGATCGTGCTTTTGCTATTGTGGGCTTCCCTGGTGGCTCAGATGGTAAAGAATCTGCCTGCAATGCAGGAGACCTGTGTTTGACCCCTGGGTTGGGAAGATCCCCTGGAGAAGAGAATGGCAATCCACTTCAGTATTCTTGCCTAGAGAATTCCAAGGACAGAGGAGCCTGGTGGGCTCACAAAGAGTCAGACATGACTGAACAACCACACCTTCACTTCACTTTGTTGTTGTAGCTAGAAAATCTTTCTTGCCCCCAAATTGTAAAGATCTTCTCCTTTATGTTGTTTTTGAAGTTTCATCATTTCAGGTTTTACCTTTAGGTCTGTGGCCCATTGTGAGATTTTGTTGTGGGGCTGTTTTTCTTGTTAGCTACTTTCTATGGTGCAAAGCATGGATAAAAATTCATTTTTGTTTCATAGTGATAGCCAGCTTTAGAAATTAATACGCTGTGTTCACTGAATCACCTTTGTGTCTTAGTGAAAATAATCAGTCGACCACATACATAACAATCTATTTGGGACTGCAATATTTTTCACTGAATTATTTATTCGACAATAACATCACACTGTCTTACATATGATAGTTTTTTTAAGTCAGGTAGAGATTAAGTTTTCCAACTTGTCTCATATGTTTTTCATTATGTTTCAATACATTTGGCTATTCATCATTGGTGCTATAGAATGTCAATCAGGCCAAATTAGTTGATAGATTTGCTCAGGTATACTATATACTGTCAAATTAATGTGCTTCATTTTAAATGAAGCATGGCAATCTGTTGATTGAATTGCCTCTTTAACAAACTATTTTGTTGAAATAATTCTCATATGTCAAATACTAGAATGAGAACAGGATGCAGGGGATAAGTTGGATCAAAAAGCCAATGACCTGGCCAATGTAAAAATCAACTATATGTAAGGAGATTCTGTTCTCTGGGACACTTTCAAATCCCATTTCTACACTACTTCTGTAGTACTTTGAGACAGTTGAAGAGAAAGGGTCTATTCATGGGGAATAATGTATTAATTTATCCTATATCCATGTTGTGAATTAATACATTTTCACTTGGGAAAGAGT